TTGAAAGTGCCAGTTGTCTCAGAGCAGGGGCTTCTTTGGGAGATCATGACCACCCAGCTCCAGACTCACTGTACGTGATCTACTCTGCGATGAGCAAGGTTGCCGGGACTTTGAGCTCCTTTTTTGTTTTTGTGGAGACAGGGTCTTGCTGTGTTGCCTGGGCTAGAGTGCAGTGGTGTTATCATAGCTCACTGCAACATCAAACTCTTGGTCTCAAGAGATCCTCCTGCTTCAGCCTCCCTAGTAACTGGGACTATGGGTGTGTGCTCACACGCCCAGCTAATTTTTCTATTTTTTTTTGTAGAGACAAGGTCTTGTTTTCTTGCCCAGGCTGGTCTCTCAAACTCCTGGCTTGAAGGGATCCTCGTGCTTTGGCCTCCCAAAATGCCAGGATTACAGGCCTGAGCCACTGCACCCAGCCTCTGAGCTCCTTTTAACTTGAGCAGACTTCTTCCTGGGAGTCCTAAGTATGTGGAGAAAGTGGCTTTTTGTTTTTTCTCCTCCATTCTTATTTTTTTTATTTAGTAGCCAAACTGCACATACAATGAGGGACTGAGAACCAAGTGTATGTTGAGGTGTGAAGGGTAGGTATCCTTCGCGAGTAGCTTTTAGGAGGCGTGTGTATTGGCTGTCAGGACTCCACATACCTGCATGCACTGGGGCCCAGTGCTTCCTACATCTTTTATGAACAGTTCCAGAACTCGTTATTTTTATCATAGTGTTGGGAGTTCTGCCTCCTTCAGCTCAACTTGAATGAAGACTTATATTGGTTCTTTTCTTTTTTTCCTCTTCTTTGAAACATTCCTGTCGTACTTCCTCCTGATTTATCCTGTCGTTTAAGTTTTTTGAGTGTTCCCTGCACCATAGACAGTTTTCTGGGGAACTTATGTACCAAGTAAACAAAACTTCTCTGTGATGGTTTCAGTTTTATGGAAAGTCTAGTTGTTTTTTATGTGTGGCATTTTCTTCGGCCTAATTTGGGAACTCTACCTATACCCACAGACACCCTGTGAGGATTTAGTCATACATGTGTACTAATAGCCTGACCACCTGCCTTCCTAGTGGATATGGTTGGATTTCTATGCAGTGATTTTTCATTCTTTATACAAGTACCGTTCATTGTACAGCATAAAGCCATAAAACTTTCTTATGGTCTTGTGTATATTAACAGCATGTGCTTTGAAATAAGTTTATTTAAGCGTGGAAAGCATGTCCCCCTCAGGTGAAGGGAACTGGCAGTGTGGTCAGCATCCCAGCTGGGGAGCTGCCAGCCTCCCCATCCGTGGGTGTCAGTTACTCTCGGTTCTGCTCCCAGAACAGCTTCCAGTGGACTAGGGAGCAGCAGCTGTGGGTGGGGCAGGCACCAGAGGTGGGCGAGAGTGTTCAGTAACGACAGGCTCGTTTGGATGGGGATGGGGTCTGGCCCAAGGTTGGCAAGTTGCAGCTGGGCCGCCTAACTCCGTGAACACAGTTGTATTAGAACACAGCCGTGTCCCTTCATGTATTATGCATTGTCTGTGGCTGCTTTCGTGCTGCGCAGCAGAGCTGAGCGGTTGTAGCAGAGACTGTCCGACCTGCAAAGCTAAAATGTTCACTGTCTCACCCTTTAAGAAAAAGTTTGCCAACCCCTGGTCTGACCCAATATTGTCCAAAGAAAAGTCCAGATAAAGTTTTATTTGGGGGTGACTTATTCTGTATAGTACCAGACAAATTAAGAAGTAAAATCATTTTCGTTGGTCTGTAGTAAATTTTGTTAGCAATGAATTATTTAGTTTTCTTAACTATTTTAGAGATACCAAATATTAATGTGTAGATTTTACTCTTTTTGTTTAGAACTGTATTTCCTGTTAAAATGTTTTCCTCTTTTGCAGTATTGAGTATGAAACATTTGATATATTGGAGGACGAAGAAGTAAGTTCAGTGTTTCATGTTTTGTGCTTTGTCTTAGCTTTCCTCATAGGGGTCTGATAGGAAGGTTTCAGGGTCCCTGTTGTCTCTCTAGGTTCGGCAAGGATTAAAGACTTACTCAAACTGGCCGACGTACCCCCAGCTGTATGTGAAAGGGGAGCTTGTTGGAGGATTGGATATTGTTAAGGTAAGGTCAGTTCATCTGCTAACGCCAAGAATGGAAATGTTGGCCTGTCTAGGAACTGTAGTTTCACCCTGAGTGGAAACGCTGGGGTTGTCCTTGACTGCTTTCTTTCCAGCCTCGTACTCAGTCACCTCTAGACCAGTGTCAGCGAGGCCGTGTGCCTGAGGTCCTGCGATTGTCACTGTTTGCTGGGTGAGACTGCGCTTGCTCCCTCCTCCCTGAACCAGCCACTCCCTCTCCCGTCCATGGCGTGATCGTCCCTGTGAAGAGGGTCCTCTTCACGTCCTCTTGCGGCTGCCAGCCGACTGCCGATCACGGTCCACGCTGACTGGCGTTCAGAGACGCTTAGGCTGTTGCCAAGCTATTATAGTTCTACTCACGCTGAATTAAATCCTGCACAGCTTTCTTCCGTTTTTTCCTGCCTTTCAGTATTTCTTCACAGTTTCCTTAGCTTTGGATTTCCTTGTGAATTCTATGTTTAAATCTGTTTTTGTAAATATCCTTCAAGGGCCACATTGTCTGTGAATCATTTACAGAGTCTTCCAACCAGAAATGTTTGCTCCTGCTCCTGAAGTTCTGTACTATTGTAATTAATTCCTCTCATCTTACTCATGTACCCTCGGGCGCACGGAGTGACACGAGGAGCAGGAGGCCTGTGGCCCAGGGCTGCCCGGCTGGACGCAGAGGCCGAGGGTCACTGCCCTGGGTCTCCTGAAAGAAAATGCAGGTCCCTCTTTGGTTCTCAGATGCTAAGAAATCTGTTAACTGTTAGACTGTGAGCAGGTTTAGAGAAGATACTATTTCTTACATGCCTTTAAATCCTTCCTGGTGTTCTGTGTATTTTAGGAGCTTAGTAAATGGTGTTGGATGGACAAAAGACTTTAATGTACTTCTTTGGTTTGCTTTAGGTAAACTCTCATTGAGTTTTAAACGGACACGACTTTTCTTAGGTTTAATGTCTAGAACTGAGGGCAGCCCCACCTGCGCCACCTGTGGGCTTCATGGCTGTCCAGGTTAGCCTGAAACAATAAATGGGAGCTGCAGCTTCAACACCCTGAAGCCCTCTACCGTAGCCCAGGCCCACCCGGGCACTGCGGTGTCAAGGAGGGGGTATCGAGGTGGGTAGGGTGGGGGCTGACGAGGAATGCAGGCTCCGCCAGGGAGCATGGACGGAACTGCCGCACAGGGTGGGCTGCCGGCGGCCGCTCTGGCCGGGGGCTGGGAGACTGCACTCAGGCCTCCCTCTTGCCTCGCTATCGGAGGATTTTCTCTGAGGTCAGATCTCCGACTGTAATTGGAAAACAAGTATCAAGTAGCACTATTTCTGCTTATATTGTAAAGGAGAAGTTTTTAACAGCATACTTTTGCAAAGTGAAGGGACTCTAACCTAACACTGAAGTGACATTAGTGCTCGGGACCAGCGTGTTCTGCAGAAACAGCTTGAGCTCCTTTGACTGCCGAGGCCGTTTTTATCCTGTGGTTTGCATCGGTGCAGGTTTTATTTCCTGCAGAGTTCCGGGTTTGATATCACACTTCTTTAAACAAGCCAGTGAGGCATATTTCCTAGGAAAATGTCTCATTCTTGGAGGAAAAAAATGTCTAACAATGTAGCTTTTTAGTAGCCCTGAAGCCACAAAACTAGATCTACATTTGTTATTTCTCTCTCTCCTCTCTCACGCACACACACAGCCGTCCCTCAATTTTGTAAAACACAACGGTACTCAAACGCCAAATGCTCTTGAGCCTCTTCTTGTCTGAATGTTTTATAGCCTGTACCTTAACCATTGGTAACTCTTGGGAAGATACAATCAATAAATCTCATTTAATTCTAAAGCTAAGCTGTGTAAGTAACTTCTTTTTAGGTTTATAACAGGGTGTTATGTGACTTTTTATTTTCACCTGCTAAGAACATACACATTTGAAATTTGTGATATTGCTAATATTTTTCCTTGAGAAGATACAGGGAATAGCTCTTACGTTGCCATTTTGGTCTGTTTCTTGTGTGTTGCAGTTCTTCACCTTTAGTTCAGTTAAAACATGTTCCGACCCCCATAATATGCTGAAATAAAAAAAAAAAACGTTCCAGATGGGCTAACTCTGGCTGGCCTCTGTTGGAGCAGTGAATACTTCTTTCTGTCGAATGACTGAATAATGAATTACTCAGTAACCCAATGACTCAGTCAATCTAATGTCCTGAGGAAAAGAGCTACTAATATGTACTCAGTGAGTTCATCTTGCCTTGATAGAGTAAACAGTTCACCGTGGCTATTGCAGACTGCTTGGGCTTAAAACAGTTGTTGAGAGATTCGGGGTATTTAGATAAGGCTGCTGTTTCCGCTGCTGGCTCATTTTAACAGCAGTGATGATGATGAGAATCGCCTTATTCGAAGCACTTACAGTGTGCCAGGCGCACAGCTTTGGTGCTTTACATAGGTCACTCAGCAGCCTCGGAGGGAGGAGCTCTCACTCTCAGTCAGTGGATGAGGAAACACATGTGGTCAGGTGCCTTGTCCCATCCGTCCCATAGCCAGCGAGCCGCTGAGTCCAGATTCTGCCTGCATGCCGCCTGTGCCTTCTGAACTGTGTGCCCAGAAAAGTCCCGCTAGGTTGCTGAGTGCAGCAGGATGTCTGCTTGTTAAGTAAGTAGAAGACCCCTAGACATCACTAAAAGTCATCCGGATTTTTGTGTGACAGACTCACTCCTGTTTGAGTTTAATCCAGGGAGCAGGTCCTGTGGCTTTTAGTGGTTTTATTGATTGATGTTTATGCTGCATAACGATAACCCGAAATGTTACATCAAATTAAATGTTTGTTTTAAACTAGAAAATCTTATTTATCATTTATTCTCACATTTCAAACTTAATGGCTGTACTCCAGATTTTAAATCTGAAAAATAGGCACAAGGAGCGAGAGCCTGTCCTTCAGTTTACGTTAACCTAATGGCAGCTCTTTTGATGGCACATCTCTGTTTCTGAATTGTTACATCTTTTTCATGGTTTCTGGCCTTTACATCTTACTGGCTTTTCGTGAGACAGATGGATTCCCAGGTTGGGTTGAAGTAGTGAAGCCTGTTTCCTCTCTGAGTGGGGGAGCAGGAGTGGAGTGAGCATCGTATTGGAATAGGCTTTTAATGTCTGTGCTTGGTTCTTCAGCCTTGAATATCACTTGATTTATTGTCCTTATTTATTGCTAAAATTTAAATAGGGGCTTCATTGTTTTGCTCCAGTTGCTATGTTTGCTAATGCTAAACAATCTGTTGGTCTTATAATAGAATACCTTTTTAATTTTGTAATCTGATAGTATATTCAGTTGTTTTTGAGTAATACTTAGTTTGAAAGTTGTAAGACTAGAGTTTTAATCCAATAGGTATTTCTTTTGGTTCTCAGATA